TGATATCTGTCAATAAAATTGAACAAATTGAATACAAAATTAATCGGATGATTAAAACTAAACTTTATAAAGATTTTATTTAAACATTTAGAATTTTCCAATATCAAAACTATGTTAATTCAACTCTAATGCTAGTACCAGTAGAAGCTACGCAAATTGCATAAATATTGATACCGATAGATACTGTTTTAATGGAGCGGATCACTCGACTCCATTAAAACAGCATCTATATTTGTTAAGTGTAGAAAGGTAAGTTTTCTCTTTTATTTTTCATTTTCCGATGCTCCTTTTATCGTCGGAATCAGTGAATAGTTCATACATAGTAACGTAACTTACGTAACATCTATTATTTAAAAAATAAAAGATTTACTGTATGAAAAGTTAAAGTTACAGTCACTATATACAATGCCTTTCCATTTTACAATACAATTTTAAGTATACCAAGACGTAGTATTGTTTTTATATTATGACCTAAAAATATTACTTTTATGTTTTTTTTTTGTCTTGAAAAGTTTCTTGAAACTATCGTAAAGCGCATGCTTCATACAGTTTCAAATTCAAACTAATCAGGGACTTATGTTGGAACAAACCTATTGTCCAGGTCAGCAATTTTTAAAGGTGACAACACTAGTTAGATGTATGCTGTATGACACTGAAAAATTGTAATGGGCAAATATGAAACTTGAAAAGTTTTCCAATGTATGTTACAACATTATTGGATAATAATTAGCATAATTATAATAATTTAGACTGATAAAATATAAAGTTTTCCAAAATGAATGCTATTTATTATGAATGTTTTAGGAATTTACTTTTTCAACATTGCATCCAATTCACATATTATTATTTTATTCATTTGAATCAAAACAGTTTTAATTAAATCATATAACTCAAAAATTCTAAAAAAATATCTGATGGAACAAAGTGTTTGATTTATTTAAACCTATTAATTAATATTGTTATTTGTTTGAATCTAATATTAACGGTAAATTCCAAAAACATTCATCCAAATTAAAACACTTTGTATATTAGCTTATAAAAAAGAGAAGTGTTTTATTTGCTGTTGATATTCAAAAGATATGGGTTCTTTCAAGGTTCATAATTAAGAAAATTTTATTTTAACAAATCTTAGATACAAGTAAAATATATTAAAACTGTAAAATAATATGTATTCAAATGTAATCACAACAAAAATCTAACCAGCTTCTGAATAACACAATCCTTTCTGTTCACCAACTTCTGAATTAGGCGGCGGCCACAGCGAAGGTGATAATTTTCCAGGTATCGGTGCTGCAGACGTTGGTACTTCTGAATGTGTCCAATAGTACATTAAATCAGGCTAAAGAACCATAAAATCGAGTTTTATATTAGCGTTTTGTTATAATTAATTTTATTATACTTATTTCTTACTCGAAAAACTATCTCCAACGGAGCATTTTCATCTTCAATTTGGCGAAGAACGCCGGCGGCAAGCAAATGAGTAGAGAATTGTGCGGCTAGAATTTTAAGATCCTGTTTTGTCAATAAGTAACGAAGATAATGGTCTTCAGGAAAGGCCGAACAAAACCAATGGATTAACATCTGTCCTTTAAATAAAACAAAAAAAAAAATTTAATATATTACTCAATACAATTACTGAATGCTACACAATTTTATTTATTTATTTTTTATCCATAAATCATAGAATATTTTTAATTTGAATGCTATATCAACATTAAAATTTGACAGGATGCATAAATTACTACTACTACTCATTCATTACTTTCCCTTGAGGTTCTATTATGTAAAAGTACTTGAAAGAATAAATAATTGGACTACATTCATTGGTTTAGACATAACGAATCATTAATAATCCATCAAATTGATAATTTTATCTATGAAAATATTATGAGTAAACATTTTCTCTAATTACATTACACTGCATAATTTCATATTTTAACCATCACGAATTATATAATAATTCATTTATATCATAATGAATTTTAGAGCTAGAAGTTTTAAATTTAATTAATTAATTACTTCTATTTTTAAACTACAGATTAATTATTCAAGTTCAAAAAAACAAATTCATAATTATTATTTTTTAAATAATTAAGAATTAAATATGCAAAATGAAGAATTAAATTACAAAATAAAGTTTTCTAAAATTTTTAAAGCATTTTTAATGTTGTTGTTGCTAAATTACTGTTATAAATATAATCCAAATGTAAATTACACACTGATAAAACAGCTTCTTCAATGTTTTAAATTCTATTTAAAAATTTATTTTAACAATATCTATTTATTATTTTAACGTTAAAAAGAACTGCATAACTAATGCCTTCAGGAACAGAAAGTTTATTTTATCTAATGCTTTGAAGTGCTCTCGTATCTATCATCAGGTTAACTTCCTGATGAGAAGTACAAGAATGTTCAAATATATTACACGAAATAAATTTTCTGTTGCCAAAACCAGTAGTTACGCAGATTTTTTTTTATTTGTGTGCGATATAAAGGAACAGAAATAACAGTTTATAATTTATTGCAAAGTGAAAAAATAATATAGTAACATAAAAACTTTCATAAAATGAAATAGTGTCTTCTAAAGTTGAATTATTTTATTACATTTAATGTTTTAAAATAATTTAAAATCATTTTATAAATATAGCAACTTATAAAGCTTAATTTTAAACATGTTTTAACATTTTAACACATCGGCAAGCACTTTCCAATGTTTTAGTTCTGTAATAATGTTTATTCCAGTAAAATCCAAATTAAGGGTGCAACTATGCAGACATGAATTTAGAGCAAGTGAGAGGTTGCGAGCGATTTAGTTTTCGCAAAGGAAAACCACGCACAAACGAGAAGCGAGAAATAACGCTGGCGAGAGCAAATTTCTGGTTCTCGCACATATCTGACAGGTTTTGATATTTATCGCTTCTCATCTCTTCTTGCCACATATTCTTGCTCACTCAGAAAATTCGCTCTCTCGCATCTGCATAGGCGCACCCTAACTGCTTTGTTAGATACAAAATCTCTCATATTTTTTTTAACAGCAGCAAAAAAAAAAATTTTAATAACTAATGCTTTTGGCACTTTTAAGAACCATCCTTAGATTACAAACTTTAAAATGAATGATTTAGAACTGAAACAGAAATAATGTAGAACAGAACAGAAAAGTAAGACTGTCAAACTCAGTAAAGGAGTTAGTTAAATAGAATAATAAACAAACTATGTTCTAGAATTTATAAAGTTAAAAAAAAATCTAGAATCTCCACTACACATGGAAATAAACAGCAGAGTGGCTGACTCCATTAAAGTATTCTACAGTTTGTTTATAAAATTATATTCTAAACATCAGGCAAGGATGATTCAAAAGTTTCAAATAAAGTAATTTGAATTTAGAAAAAAAAAAAAACATATTAAATTATCATAAAATTAAATTTCTTTTATTCTTTATTNACTACGCCACAAATATAAAACAGGACACGATTTCAAAAAGAAAATCAGTATATTTTACTGTTTTATATATTTTACACACACATATAGTCAATTTCTGTCTTTATTTACATCTGATTTTGACCATTAGGACTATCAAAGTATTATTTTCTTTCCAAATCTCCAACTCTAAAATATTTTTGGTTATAACTAAATACAGGGTCTTTTAAAATGAAAATTACAATAATTTAAAATGGTAGCAATGTTAATTATTATTTCAGAAGTAAGTGATGTACACCAATTGATAGCGTAACTGTCCGGGATAGCACACTGCTCCCACCTGCATTCAAACGTTCGTTATCTACTACCTCTGAGAAGTGCCATAAGCAAAAATAGCAACTCTGCAACAGAAAAGGCATTATGTGTTCTGCAGCTTACAAAGTCAGAATCACTTATCATTGTGACACATGAGTTTCATAGACAATTTCGAGTAATCCATCAAGACATTCTTTGGTGATATTGTGAGTTTCAAAACACAAAATGTCTTTTCCGTTGCAGAGTCGCCATTTTTGTTTACAGCATTTTCTAGAGGTAGTAACTTAGATAACACAATGTTTGAAAGTAGATGGGAGATGAAATTTCGACAGTTACTCTATTCATTGATGTTCATTGAATACTTCTCAGGTAATAATTAACATAATTGTAGTAATTTAATATGGTAGCATTCTTTTCGAACATGTATTTCAGATGATGAGTTAATTTTAGTACAGAAAATAGTTTCATATTTTAGTACTTTTTAAGAAAACAAAACAAGTTTGTAACTTGAACTGAATGTTGTTAAATGCTGACATACTATTTAACAGTTTAAATATTTTAATCTATAAATCATGTTTTCTTCAGAGAATACATTTACAAATAAATTTAGACTTAAAATTATTAAAATATAAAATGTTTGTTAGTCTCGAGATGATAATGATTATACAACTTGGTGTTAATTTCATTAAATGTATATTTTGTTTATAAGAATTCAATTAAACAAATTTAATTCTGAAGTAACTGTTTCAATAGATCACTCAATCAACTACATACAACCTTGTAGAGCAGCCAAAAGGTGGAAAAAATGAATGTGTTTGATCACGTTTAATGACATTCATTTGTCAAATGTTTAATGTTTAAAAAATCAAATATTTACAAATAAAAATGAAAATATCTGAATGCTGATTGAAGTTTAAATATAAAAAAATATTTACATAAAATACAAAATAATAATATAAATATTTTCCATTAATATTTGTAAACATCAAACTTGTTGAACATCATTAAATATGATCAAAAACATTAGTTTTTCTAGTTTAATTTAAAATTTTTTTTTGCTGCTGCTGTACAAGTTTGTATGTAGTTAATTGAGTAAACAAATTTAAATATTTAAACACTAGTATTGTGTCTTTGGAATAAAACACAATACTAGTGTTTACTACGCCACAAATATAAAACAGGACACGATTTCAAAAAACAAATCAATAAATATTTAAAATCAATATCATAATTTGGAAACAGTTATCAATTTATGTTTCATTACTCACTTTACTTTTCACATCTTTTAATTTTGGTAAAATTTCTAATCCAAATCCATCTGCTTGGCCCCTGCTTCGATTCCCTTAAAAGAAAATATACTGATATAACAGCTTGTTTTTCAATTTTAAAAGTAATTTGTAATTTTAAAATTACATACCACCATTCATGTAATTTCCTAATGCAAGAATAATCCCAAAAACTTGTTGGATATTTTCACTAGTCATAAGACACTAAAAATTACAAGAAAAAACTAAGATTATACAAATATTTTTACTTACTTATAAAAAAAGAAACAATCTAACTTTCTTACTTCACTTGTCATTTTCATATTGTTTAATTTATTTTCTATAGAACTAATTGTTTCTGCAAAATTTGACTGAAACATGATGCAAGAAACTCTGTCTGCGTAAAGCGGTATTTGAGATAAATCATATAAGAATCTGTTTAAAAATAATTTTTAATCTTATAAATAAATTTAAACTATTTTTAACAATATATTAGAAATGTGTATTGTATTTAATATAATTAAATAATATATTTAGTTTTTATATTAAATATATAGTTATATAAAAGAAAAAAAATGATTACTGTTCAGGTTTGTCTAAAGGAATTTCTGAATTGGTGGCAAGATGGTTCTTGATTAACTGTAATTCATCTTCACTTGGTTGCTAATAAGTTATTATTATTATTAATTTTCATATAATAAATATTTTAAAATTATAGTTCCATAAAAGATACTCACGACTTCATAAATGGCTTGAAGGGCATCCAAATCAACAACAGATGTATCAAAATTGTACACAGCTAAAATAAATATTTGATAGATTACTATTTGCCAAAAATATCTTAAAATGATAGATTAATTAAGCATTTTTATGTTAATTGCAAATATCCATAAATATTTCATACCATTTTCCACATCAGAAATTTCCAAATGAAGACTAGATATTAAAATTCCGACATTTTGTGAACGTTTCTGGTCAAGTAACTTTGCAACCTGAGAGAAAAGATATATGATCAGCAATTAAAATAAAATTTGGGAAATTACTGAACAAATTACATATATTAAACATTTACATGCCTCTTTTGATTTCTTTTGTGTTGTCTTTGGTTTGTTACTCGACTTCTTCTCTCGTACTTGACGAGAAAATAGATCGGAGAATTCGTCCCAATTTTGTAAAACATTTTCTTCTAATTTCTCCCATAAACAACTTTTCTGGCTAAGTAAGAATATAAATTTTTAGTTTACAAGTGTAAAAGTATAAAATAAGATAGGATTTAATTTTACTAAAAATAAATTGATCTTATATAACTGGTTTTGGTATATATATGTGTTCCTGTTTATTATTTAACTTAAATAAGAAAATTTCATACTCTTCGGGAGGAGATGGAGATGACGACGGGGACTGTTGAACAGCAACTTGAATCCTTGTCCAATATAAAGGTTTCATTGGAACTTTTGGACTAACTGCTTGCTTTCGTGCTAAATTTATAAATCATAAGGTAAACAATAATTACAAAAAAAGAAATAAAATTATCCAATTATTAAAAGAGAAACCATTAAAAGAAGTTTTCTAAGGTTTGAGTGAATCTTACCTGTAGAATAAACTCCATACCAACCACCTGCTGGTGGAGTAGGTAAAGGAGCAGGAGAAATGCCACTAGTACCAGGTAAAGGTGGAGGTGGTAGAGGACCAGAAAGTCCAAGAGGTGGAGGTGGTGGTGGTAGAGGTGCGCCTGATCCAGGTAAAGGTGGAGGTGCAGGCATTCCTGGAATTTGTGGGAATGGTGGTGGAGGTGGAGGAGGAGGTGGTCCTGCGGTTGATCCTATTAGGGGAAGTGGAGGTGGAGGTGGTGGTGGGATACAAGCTCCTAACCCTGGTAGTGGTGGTGGTGGTGGAGGCGGCGGAGGTGGTGGTGGTATGCCTTGTCCTGAATGTGTTGATGGCAAAAAGGGTGGTGGAGGGGGTGGTGGGGGTGGTATACCTTGACCTGCTGAAGGTAATGGTGGTGGTGGAGGTGGAGGTGGGGGAGGAATACAAGGAGCAGGAGGAGGAGGTGGAGGTGGTGGTGGAGGAGGAGGAGGAGGAGGAGGAGGAGCTGATACAGGACTGATTGCAATACTTGCAGGTGAGGAAGAGCTAACTAAATCTGAGGGAAGGGACGCTACTGGTTCTTCTGAAACAGGGAGAAGTGCTAAATCTGAACCAGATATAGATGTACTTCTATGCTTCTGCTTGACAGGCTGAACCAAATCTTCAGTTTGTACTTCAACACACTTATCTTCTGATTTATCTTCAGTCTGCACCAATACCGATTCCAATATCACAGGCAAACCTTTAGTTTGTGTGGAAACTGTTTCTTTTGTTGAATCTTCTGCCACTTCTTTCACAGGTGATATTGGAAGCAATTCTAATTCATCTTTAGCATTCCTTGCTAATTCTTCAATTCCAGCTAACGTTTGATACTTATCAACCTCTCTCTCTAATTGGGCCAACTTATACTCATATTCAGTTAGTTTTGCAGCTTGTTGTCCTCTCATATGCAAAACAGCAATATCTTTTTCCCTCTAAAATAGTAAAATATGTATTTTATAAATAAAAATTTATTTAAAAAAATAATAAAATAAGATGAAAAATTTAACTCACTTGCAATTTATCTAAAGCACTTGTATGCTGTTTCCTTACTCCCATCATTAACTTCTGCAGGTCTGTTTAAAATATTTACAAGTTTTTAACTGTTTGTAACTGAAAAACATTTTGTTTTGTCAAAAAATAAAACACAAGTATTTTTTAGCAATTTATATACGAAATACAGGGTCTTCTAAAATGAATACTACCATTTTAAATTAATGTACTTATGTTAATTATTATCCAAGAAGTATACAACATACGTCAATCAATAGAGTAAACTATCTGAGTTTCATATCATATCTCCATTCAAATGTCTTCTTGTCTACTACCTCTAGGAAGTGCCGTAAATGAAAATGGCAACTCTGAAACAGAGAAGGCGTTTTTTTGTTTTGCAGTTTGCAAAGTCATAATCACCCATCATTGTTCAACAATGATGGGTGATTATGAGTAATCTGTGGGAGCTGTAGAACTGTGGCTGCTGTGGGAGGAGTGACAACAGATAAGCTGTAGCAAGTATAGGAAGAATTACAGTATTGGTTAGATGTAGTGTTGCCACCAGGCCGGTTTTCACCCGGACAAGCTGGTTTTTAAATTTATGGTCTGGATTAATTATTAATTTGTCCGGTTTTCATAGAAATTGTGAAATTATAATGAAACAAAACAAATCTATAAAAGAATTTGTATTTTATTTTATCGGTTAAAGACTTTAACTTCACACCCCCCAAACTTATCTCTTGGCTAAGAGTGACAGAAAATGTACTTTTAAAATTCTAACAAGCAAATATTAGTTTTGTTCCAATTGGGTTAAAATTGGCTTGCACATTGTTCAGTTCTTGGCTGTAAAATGGCATTGCGCATGCTTCATACAGTTTCAAATTCAAACTAATCAGGGACTTATGTTGGAACAAACCTATTGTCCAGGTCAGCAATTTTTAAAGGTGACAACACTAGTTAGATGTATGCTGTATGACACTGAAAAATTGTAATGGGCAAATATGAAACTTGAAAAGTTTTCCAATGTATGTTACAACATTATTGGATAATAATTAGCATAATTATAATAATTTAGACTGATAAAATATAAAGTTTTCCAAAATGAATGCTATTTATTATGAATGTTTTAGGAATTTACTTTTTCAACATTGCATCCAATTCACATATTATTATTTTATTCATTTGAATCAAAACAGTTTTAATTAAATCATATAACTCAAAAATTCTAAAAAAATATCTGATGGAACAAAGTGTTTGATTTATTTAAACCTATTAATTAATATTGTTATTTGTTTGAATCTAATATTAACGGTAAATTCCAAAAACATTCATCCAAATTAAAACACTTTGTATATTAGCTTATAAAAAAGAGAAGTGTTTTATTTGCTGTTGATATTCAAAAGATATGGGTTCTTTCAAGGTTCATAATTAAGAAAATTTTATTTTAACAAATCTTAGATACAAGTAAAATATATTAAAACTGTAAAATAATATGTATTCAAATGTAATCACAACAAAAATCTAACCAGCTTCTGAATAACACAATCCTTTCTGTTCACCAACTTCTGAATTAGGCGGCGGCCACAGTGAAGGTGATAATTTTCCAGGTATCGGTGCTGCAGATGTTGGTACTTCTGAATGTGTCCAATAGTACATTAAATCAGGCTAAAGAACCATAAAATCGAGTTTTATATTAGCGTTTTGTTATAATTAATTTTATTATACTTATTTCTTACTCGAAAAACTATCTCCAACGGAGCATTTTCATCTTCAATTTGGCGAAGAACGCCGGCGGCAAGCAAATGAGTAGAGAATTGTGCGGCTAGAATTTTAAGATCCTGTTTTGTCAATAAGTAACGAAGATAATGGTCTTCAGGAAAGGCCGAACAAAACCAATGGATTAACATCTGTCCTTTAAATAAAACAAAAAAAAAAATTTAATATATTACTCAATACAATTACTGAATGCTACACAATTTTATTTATTTATTTTTTATCCATAAATCATAGAATATTTTTAATTTGAATGCTATATCAACATTAAAATTTGACAGGATGCATAAATTACTACTACTACTCATTCATTACTTTCCCTTGAGGTTCTATTATGTAAAAGTACTTGAAAGAATAAATAATTGGACTACATTCATTGGTTTAGACATAACGAATCATTAATAATCCATCAAATTGATAATTTTATCTATGAAAATATTATGAGTAAACATTTTCTCTAATTACATTACACTGCATAATTTCATATTTTAACCATCACGAATTATATAATAATTCATTTATATCATAATGAATTTTAGAGCTAGAAGTTTTAAATTTAATTAATTAATTACTTCTATTTTTAAACTACAGATTAATTATTCAAGTTCAAAAAAACAAATTCATAATTATTATTTTTTAAATAATTAAGAATTAAATATGCAAAATGAAGAATTAAATTACAAAATAAAGTTTTCTAAAATTTTTAAAGCATTTTTAATGTTGTTGTTGCTAAATTACTGTTATAAATATAATCCAAATGTAAATTACACACTGATAAAACAGCTTCTTCAATGTTTTAAATTCTATTTAAAAATTTATTTTAACAATATCTATTTATTATTTTAACGTTAAAAAGAACTGCATAACTAATGCCTTCAGGAACAGAAAGTTTATTTTATCTAATGCTTTGAAGTGCTCTCGTATCTATCATCAGGTTAACTTCCTGATGAGAAGTACAAGAATGTTCAAATATATTACACGAAATAAATTTTCTGTTGCCAAAACCAGTAGTTACGCAGATTTTTTTTTATTTGTGTGCGATATAAAGGAACAGAAATAACAGTTTATAATTTATTGCAAAGTGAAAAAATAATATAGTAACATAAAAACTTTCATAAAATGAAATAGTGTCTTCTAAAGTTGAATTATTTTATTACATTTAATGTTTTAAAATAATTTAAAATCATTTTATAAATATAGCAACTTATAAAGCTTAATTTTAAACATGTTTTAACATTTTAACACATCGGCAAGCACTTTCCAATGTTTTAGTTCTGTAATAATGTTTATTCCAGTAAAATCCAAATTAAGGGTGCAACTATGCAGACATGAATTTAGAGCAAGTGAGAGGTTGCGAGCGATTTAGTTTTCGCAAAGGAAAACCACGCACAAACGAGAAGCGAGAAATAACGCTGGCGAGAGCAAATTTCTGGTTCTCGCACATATCTGACAGGTTTTGATATTTATCGCTTCTCGTCTCTTCTTGCCACATATTCTTGCTCACTCAGAAAATTCGCTCTCTCGCATCTGCATAGGCGCACCCTAACTGCTTTGTTAGATACAAAATCTCTCATATTTTTTTTAACAGCAGCAAAAAAAAAAATTTTAATAACTAATGCTTTTGGCACTTTTAAGAACCATCCTTAGATTACAAACTTTAAAATGAATGATTTAGAACTGAAACAGAAATAATGTAGAACAGAACAGAAAAGTAAGACTGTCAAACTCAGTAAAGGAGTTAGTTAAATAGAATAATAAACAAACTATGTTCTAGAATTTATAAAGTTAAAAAAAAATCTAGAATCTCCACTACACATGGAAATAAACAGCAGAGTGGCTGACTCCATTAAAGTATTCTACAGTTTGTTTATAAAATTATATTCTAAACATCAGGCAAGGATGATTCAAAAGTTTCAAATAAAGTAATTTGAATTTAGAAAAAAAAAAAAACATATTAAATTATCATAAAATTAAATTTCTTTTATTCTTTATTATCACAAATATTAACAATTATTCCAATTTTTCAAACGAAAATCATAATCTAGTAAACATCCTAAAACATTAATATAATGTTCATAAGTTTAGATTATATTTATTGATATCTGTCAATAAAATTGAACAAATTGAATACAAAATTAATCGGATGATTAAAACTAAACTTTATAAAGATTTTATTTAAACATTTAGAATTTTCCAATATCAAAACTATGTTAATTCAACTCTAATGCTAGTACCAGTAGAAGCTACGCAAATTGCATAAATATTGATACCGATAGATACTGTTTTAATGGAGCGGATCACTCGACTCCATTAAAACAGCATCTATATTTGTTAAGTGTAGAAAGGTAAGTTTTCTCTTTTATTTTTCATTTTCCGATGCTCCTTTTATCGTCGGAATCAGTGAATAGTTCATACATAGTAACGTAACTTACGTAACATCTATTATTTAAAAAATAAAAGATTTACTGTATGAAAAGTTAAAGTTACAGTCACTATATACAATGCCTTTCCATTTTACAATACAATTTTAAGTATACCAAGACGTAGTATTGTTTTTATATTATGACCTAAAAATATTACTTTTATGTTTTTTTTTTGTCTTGAAAAGTTTCTTGAAACTATCGTAAATAATAGCGTTTAAAAAGAATAGAACTTTATTTAGAACAGAAAAAATCGAGAGCTGTGAAGTGGTTCTAGATTTGTATATTTTTTCTAGAAAATCAAATTTGCGGAAAGAAATCTTATTCACTTTCAATATTTCACATAAAGTTAGACATTTATTCTACTTTTTTTAATGCACTTGTTGATGAAATATTAGGTACAAGGTTGAAGTTTATTTTATCTTTTCTATTGTTTATAAGGAGGAAAAAAATTATATGTAAATAACACACATATAATTAATAGATTAAATACAGTAATTAACAGTAAAACTACTTTTGATTTATTTTTATTCTATAACTCTCACCAAGCAAGATTTATATTTTTATAATTTATAAACTGACATTTCAACCAGAAAGTAAAGAAAAATAAATAACTGATTTGTTCAGGAAGCCAAAACTTTATATAAATAAAACATTTTCAGTCGGTTATAAGACTATCTTCGGCACGTAAACATATATTCTATTATGATGCTAAACAGAAATTAGAATAGAATTCCCTGTTTAGAATATAAATTGAAAATAAAACATGCCGTACGCTAATGCCAAGAAAAATAGAGTTAAAAAAGTATTTTTGTCGTTTAAACCGTTATGAGATGGTTAAATAACATCAAAGTATGTTATCGTAAGTCATGAAATTATATTATTTTTAAATAATAAATTCTGCGTTAAGTTTATACCTAAATATATTTTAAATTTATTATCTTTGATTAAGTTGAAATAATGCAAACATCTTAATAAATGAAAAGAAAGTCTTAAAATCTTACCTTCGAACTTTTCATAAAGACTAAAATCCAGTTTCTCCGGAACGAATTTCGGCCTGTTCACCTTAGCTTCGAGCGTAGCCTTATCCAGAGTGAGTGAGGCCACCTTTCTGAGCACATTTCCATCCAAAGGCAAATTGTCACCATAAGAAGAATGTCGACGGGCTGACGGAATGTGAGGTTCGCTAGTGTTTGTGAAAAGATGACCGGGTCTGAGACACTCTTCCGACACAGTATGATCTTTTTTATTATTGGAATTAGACGGAAGTGTACTAAATTTATGAGGGGGTAACACTACTTTCTGGTGAGGTACTAGGGTAAAGGTAGGGGCCGACGAATCTACCAAATTTCTGTGTTTGTAACTTAAAGATTCCTGCAGTTCTTTTCCTGCAAAGCCATTTCTAGTAAGACTACCCGTGGAAGTGACACTAGAAACGAGCCTCACGCTATTTTGCGAAACGTTATCACTATCCTTTGCACTCAAATCCGTGGAATTACTGAGTCCGGTATCGGGCGTTCCTGGGTAAGACTGCGTCGCCAATTTTTCGGGATAGACGAGTTCGTCACAAAATACTTTGATGTCATTTAAACTGACGGGAGACGTTTCCTGCAAGGTGCCCTCCTCCGGAATCTGGGCGTCCAGTAGAGAGTCTCCGTCGCATATCGTGACTTCCTCCGGAGTGGGCAGACGACTGACGGTGTCGACGTACAGAGAACTAGAGACGGAACTTTCCGGACTGGGAGTGGATTCGACTTTCAGCTCGCTATTCTTGACTTCGTTTTTAACCGCGTGCACCTGCGCCGGGAGCGCTTCCTTATTCGCCTTTACGCCTCTGCCAAGCAAACCTCGCCTCTTCTCGGTAGGAGTAGCCAAAGGCGAGGAGGACGACACTTTCTGTTTTTTGGCATCCTTTCCTATCCTAAATCGTCCTGGACTACCTTTAGATTCTACTTTCAATTCTTTCTCCTTACCCGGAGACTGTTTTGATTTCTTGTCTCCAGGTTGGCTACCTAAATTTCCCATTTTACTTTCTCTATTCAGATGATTGTTCTTTTCTCGTATTCCATGATTTCCATGATTATTTTTCGATAACGGAGAGCGATTTTTCGAATTCGTTCGCTCATCGTTGCATTTACGACAGACACCATTACGTATCGCTACCGAAGCAACCGTGCAACGACAAAAATTCGGATTGGAAGACGAACGATCGATAGTTGACGGCGCAGTCGTGTCAGCTCTGGTACTGTAAGGCATGAGAGCACAGTTGCTTATTTCCTGCCAGATGCTGTTACCGATGACTAAATCTAAGTCGGCACTACAAAACAATTCGATTTCTTCGTTTATGTCGGGTAGTTGGGCTCTCCAGTACAACCATTCGTTATACGTGGCTGCTTCCATGACGAATACGTCCACCAAGCCATTCAACCTAACAACACACAAAAACACATAGAGGGGGGAGGGAATTTTTCACAATAGGATCTCGTTTAATGACGTTTCTGCGAAAATTTCAACTCCTAAAACTATCCTAACACCACGCCGCACGTCCTTGTAAAACTAACGCTTCCCACACTCAGAAATCACCCACTGATACCTAAACAACACGGTTATTGGCAAGTAACCTGTTCGTTTTTCACAAAAGTATCCTATAACACGCTAATCTTCATAAGTTATTCATTTTTTTTTTCTTTTGTTTCAAAAGAAAATCCCTCTTTTAAGCTCCTTCCTGTTTTAATGAAAGGATGATCACTCATGTGAAATGAGTTAAATACTCTTCTTTCTATCCACTGGCATGTGCCACATACCGCTGAATTCGTAGATATATTATTTAAAAATCGATATTTTAAACGATAAACTTTACAATTATTCATTAAATTACGTCGAGATACCGTGACGAAGTTTTAAAGTCAATATACAAAGTTTACACTTTAACAATTAACATAAGATAAGCGCGTTTTAAAGCGCAAAAATTAAACTTTTAAATAGATTTTATAATACAGGAAATTCTTTAAATTCCTATTTAATTTTTTTGTTATTTTATATTATTTTTTATACAGTGAATGATTTTCTAAACAGAACCGTGACCTTAAAGATAAGGTAACCTTGATATATTCTTTTATGGCATAACAACATTTTCGTGCACAATCTATTATTAATTAATTGATTTTTCCTTCCGTTACGGAGTTAAATCCGGTTGATGCTTACTTGAATAAACTTAACGAATTAATTCTTTTGTTTAAATACTTACATGCATTTCTTTATTACTTACTCTTCTTCAACGGGATGAAATTAAGTGACTTTGTTATCCGGCTCTCGAACAACAGGTGAGATCGACAGGTGTGTCCTCTCCCGGTTCATTGGACCCACGTTGTTCGCCCCGGGGATAAAAAAAAAAATACTTTCTCCATTATAAACTAACTTTACACGTCTAGCGACATCTAGTGCGTAATAACTTTACTAATTAGTGGATAATGCCAAAGATTTTATTGATCTACCCCCTCTCTGTGTTCAATATAACTCAATTAAGTTACTCCTTTAAAAATTCAATAGCTCTATTCAATGAGCTTAATTAATTAAAATATTCTTACTATTGATAGATAATATCTGGATAATTATTCCAGTTGAATGATAATGATAAAACCTCTCTCAAGATGCTCACTTAATTCTTCAGAGATCCAGTTTCATTTCTCTTTTTTTTTCTGTTTTACTCACGGGTTTTTCCATTAGATAATCAGATTTTACATCACGTAGATGGCTTTTTTCGTATATATTGTATATCCGGCATAAAAACTGGCTTATGTGTATATATTGTGATCTTAAATATAGGTAATTAGCATATTATAATTGTGAGGATCATTATGTACTCAGAAAGCTTGTTGAAAATCATTTTAGCTAGGATCAATGTATAATTAAACTTATCTATCAATCATCATATTATGGTTTAATTCAAAAAACAAATCCTAACTTGGCAAGACTATTTTTATGTCCACTCTATACTAATTTTTTTACTCTTTTTTTTAACTCTTTCTGCCCTGTGGGCACTAAGAGGACCTCTTTCAGTAAGCTCATTATGGATTCGGCCAGGCCCAAGGCAAGTTTTAGGATGGAGCGAGATCCTATTATGGCGCCCCTAATTTATACCCTTCTATTTTCTTTACCACTGAGGCACCCCCTTGGACTTAGCACCTGGAGCGGCTGCTCTGTTTGCCCTATGGTAGGACCGGCTCTGCCCACAGAGGCGGAGGGCGATGAGGGACGGGGCCTGACATAATTTTTTGTGTTAACATGTATTAGCTTGTTTCCCTGGTTATGAATTCACTCCATATATTTTGGTAAAGGTGCTGTGGTCAGTTGCAGCCATTGTTCTTACTGAGGCTAGATGCTTGTGTAAGAACCACTACGGTTCTCTATAAAACCAGGAAAAATTCCCTAGCTCCCTCCTCTCGATGACCCGGGTCTGGAAAAAAGATCTCTTAGGGCCATACTCGCAACCAAGGATCAAGAGTTAGCCAATAAACAATCGTGTACAAAAAGTAATGTGAAAGGTTAATGAAGACTTTACTCATTGTTAGCATTTAGTTTTTTGTTTTTGTAAAACTCATCTCTCTACTCTCAAAATCAAGCATTTTGCCATTTTATAATTAAAAATATAGAAAGTTTTTATAACAAAATCTCATAACAGCTGGGGAAGTTATGCAACTCGTTGTTTACTTTTTGATCAGAGTAGGATTTTTGGTTTTGTGAGTTATATTTATAGTTATATATCATACTACTTATAATATTCTTAATTTATTAAATATAGGGACTAACTGTATAATGATTAATTATAGACTCAAATTCTTCAACAGTTTTAACTCTAACATTATTTTCGTTTAACATATGACATTATTCAAAAAATGACAAGAATTCAAATATAAGTAAATTAATTCACAAACACATTACATTGTATAATAAATAAATATTTAATCAAATAAAACCATATAAAAAATTATCTTTTAAATAAAATCTATTAAATGTGTCAATCAACTGATGGAGTGTTTGGACAACATTCTGCGCTCTTCTTCGAGGTGACCTTTCCATACTTTGTAATGATGACACGATCCATTTTGGGCGTGAGGTTTCACTGAAGAATCCAACAAATTCCAAGAAACTGGGCAACCATAAAATAACCTTTTTATCCGAGAATGAACCAATGCCATAGAACACCTGGAAATAATAAATTATATTTAGCAAAACAGTTGTAATATTTAATTAAATAAAAGTAGATAAGTGTAAAGATATGTATTTTTAAAATAAATCCATATGTAATAAAGAACCTTGTACGAACTTTATGGGAAATGGATCTTGTTGAATTTGGCTGAATCTTTCATATTTTGAACTTCTAGTAGACCTGATGAAGAGTCTTCATAGGCACAAAGTAGACAATTTTTGTGTTATCAAGCATCCAAGATACAAAATCAGCATAATTCACGCATACACATACCATGCTAGTAGATACAGTGCATGTCTCTGTGTGGCACATGCATGAGAAACTCACTCTGCTGAGATTTGATAATGGATTAAAAAGAAACACTGTTTATATTTTGAAATGAACAAGATTTAGGGCATCACACGTGTGAATAACGGAAATTAATGACTTACGGAAATTTCTATTATATGTTATAAAACTATCAAAGGAGGTATATATTATATGTTGTAAAAGATTTGTCTTTATTGTTATTAAATAACGAATATAATATTATTATAATTACAGTCACTTTGTTATTATTTTTTAAAAAGGTGTACCGGTACCTTTGTGAATTTTATTGTTGTATTTAAGAAAATCTTTTTAATATTATCCGAAAACAGAACCAGAAGTATCATATGAATGTAACAGAAAAATTTTTTAAGAAAAGCAGTGAGCACCTTGTTTAATTAAGTATAAAAAAGCTTTTTTGTGTCATAAAATATAATCTACACGTGTCAAAATTGTTAAATGAGTAATTATAGTTTAATGTTTTTTGTAGAATTACACTGAAGAAGAGCTTAGAAATTAAATAAGCCCGAAATGCATATGGAAATATAATAAAAGTACCTAACCTGATGGCTGTGTGATAGTCTACCGAAATTATTTTTATTCAGATTAAAGAGACAGACATTTACAACTTATTATCATGTTATGTTATATTATAGCTGGAATGTTTTAACCAAAATTAATATAATTATTTTAAAAATTGTTTTTATTTTTCAACTTGTATATTCACTTTATGGGTGATATGGGTATCTAAGGCATGCTGCATCATGTAGTGAATAAGAAAGACAAAAATTCTCCTTTGGTGTTGCATGAGAGCATGTTGAATATCCTAAACTTTAGTTCTTATTGAATTGTCTATGACAGTGGTCAGCAACCTTTCTGACCTCATGGACCACTAAAGTCACAATTTTGAATCCTGTGGACCATTATCATGAATATTTTTTAAACGATACAAAATCTATAGAATAATGATCATAAAAGTTCAATTTTACTATATTAATATGAAACTCACATGTTTAATTATAACAAATTAATGCAAGCCTAAAGTTCATTGCTGCTTGTTTGAAACAAATTTATGGATTCTTCACACTTTTCCACGAAGGACAACAATTGTTTATTGTTCATTATTTATTGATAACAGTCACTTCATTTTTGGTTTTAGATTAGAATAAAAAACCCCAATAAGTGAAAAAAGCAACTAAGCATTTTGCATTTCTTTCGTAATACTTCGCATAACCTTCGTTGATCAACGTTCAAATTTCTCCATGGACCACCCAAATTTTCTCGCGGACCATTGATGCAACTAGTAGCCTTATCGGCACCCACCGGTTGCCGACCGTTGGTCTATGAGGCTATTCACTTACCATCTGGTGGAAACAGAATCGTATAAACAAATTCCGGAAAAAATATTCTTCTATAGTTTATTAAAACTTTTCAAACATCTAATATCTACAACTTTACGACAGAGACCTGAACTTTGATGTTGTTGAACTGGCATATTCTCTGAATGATGTGGAAAACCCGACTTCATCTGAAATTTGTCATTTCAAAACTTTCAAATCTATTAATTTCAGTAAACAGACTTGCATCACTGAACTTATGATATACATGGCCTCTGTTTATTATCCACATATCACTCAAAAAATAAAGTTTTGAGTAGTTGAGATCACTTTTCCCTCCTCTCTTCTCACATATCGTTTAAACCATCCGACTGGATCTGTTTCTCATTGTCCACAGTTCCTTATTTTTTTCCTTAATTTGCTTTAGTTAAATGATTGTATTGAATGCACTGATTATAAGTTTAGCATCATGATAATTCCTTAAAATAAACAAAAAATTAAACAATTTATAATTTTGCACATACTATTCTGAAATATAAACTCATTCATTAACTTTCATCATATTTATACTATATGGTAAAGTGAACTACCTATTTTGCAAGCAATCTTAAAGAACAAGTCTATTGTACAAAAAATACTTGTGTCAAGATATACGGAGTGGGTCAAAACTCAGTTAACTGAGACATAATCTAGGATTATGTTAAAAACAGATAAAACATGTTGTTATTTACGATTCGGTCTTTTGCAATGAAGCAAATAAATCAGAGCTGTTCCAAATGACTTTTAACCACTCTTAAAATGTATCTTAGTTAATTAACTGACTTTTAAACCATCTTGTATTTTTAAGTTTGGTGTATTAACCGAACTTAAAAATACAAGATGGTTGAGTTAAAAATACAAGAGCTGCCCAGTGTATGGGTCACACTATACAAGCAATTAAGTAAAAATTAGCATTCTCCAGAATGCGTACAGTGTGTGTCTAGATCTGCGCATGCGCGTATTCGCACATCATGGAGCTTTCTGCTCGTTCGTTTTTCGAACATTTTTTAATATTTCTATCGTGTTCCTAACGACTTTTACTAAAGTTTCATCTTAAATTTAAGCGTTCTATTCCAAATCGGATTATTTCTGTTTAATTCTTTCGATAATTCGCCTGATGACGACGGCTATATGTTCGTCGAAAGTACTAGCGAATAAAAAAACGCACACATAACGCCGACCTCAGTGCCTTCCCTTTTTTACAATATAATATTTTGGCGTGATCGTCAGCAAATTGATCATTTTACAGTATTAACCGAGTTTTTGTATAGCGAAATCCAAATATTCTTTTATTTATTTTACAAATGACTTTAATGTATTACTAAATTTAGATTTGTTTACTTACTATTTATCCTCATGAAATTGTGTAGTCCATAAAAGTAATGCATTAAACTGTTAGAGCAGTTGTAGTCACAGAATACACAGTTGCATATTCTGAAAATCTATATCTAGTTATGGCTTTTTTTTAAGTATCTGTATCACGTTTTCTCTGGCAAATTTCATAATTTGTTTACATTTTTTTACTGGTAGAAGCAGAATTTCTATTTTATATGCATCTATTTATGTAATTTATTCAAGAAATTTTTAAAAAATTATTGAATAAATTAAATAAAATTTACTTATATATTTACATGTATTACATATAAAGGGCCCACCAGTGACCGAGTGGTCTTCGTACCCTAAACACTGGGAGTTCGGTCGTGGGTTTGCGCCGCGATCGGACAGGCTGGCTGCTTGGAGTTTTCCGGGTTTTCTCCTTGCCAATAACGATTAAATAGGAGGCCAGTTCCCCATAAAAGTCCTCCCGGAAGGCATTAGTTTCCCTCGTGTAACATCACACCCCAGAGAAGGCAACGGGAAACCACTCTGAGTACTAACTTTTCCTAGTAACGCCTTGGCGTATTTACTAACTACTTACTAATCTGTGCCGGGTGTGGCCGAGGTCGGGAAAAACCTGATATGGCACTATGAGATGAGATTACATATAAAATTTACTTATATATTTACATGTATTACATATAAAATGTACTTGTATTCATACTTATTCGGCAATAATATATTATATATAATTTTGAAGCCTAAGTTGAAAGGAAAGTGTGTTTAAGTGTTGTATCTATTGTCAGATTACAAGTTTGAATTCCACTTTATTTTTAATATTTTTGTTTGACTTACGTGAGTTATTTGTTACCAGAAACAGACTCAAATATAAAGGTTAATAAATTTTTATCATCAGGAGTATTTCAACAATAAGTTTTCTGTTGGTAAGTGACTTTATATTATTATCAATAAGACATAATGCTAATAATTTTTAAATATTTTAAATGTCCTTAACCTTAAAAATTATTAATACTCCTCAATAAAATATTTTTAGAGACTATTATAAATCATTGTAAGATTCAAACTTAACAAGAACATGAAAAAATAATAACAGAAATCAAATGTAAAACCACAACAATTCTTCAATTTTTAATGTCATGAAGTTTTGAGCTAACAATTACATAACTCGAATGTTTTAGTGCATTTCTAACGATGAAAAAGTATGCTATTCTATATTTAAGTCTGTTTCTTGTTACAAATAATCCTCATTAGTGGTTCATATTAATAGTATTAAGATTAATATATATTAAAACAGACTGCCGTCGCTGTCACTCTCAACTGAAGCTGTGGCCATAGCATCTTTAGTAAAAAGACATTTAAGAATGTAAATGCATTTGGGCATTAATTTGATTTTGAAATTCTCCTGGAAATTAAGTGTTTATGTCTAACCTGTCACACTCAGAGGCACTACACTATTGCATGTAGAACATCTCTGAATAAAATAAGGTCCAGCCACTTACTTTTTAAGATTCCAAAAGGCTAAAAAATTAAAATAGCATTAAAAATGTATATCATATTTTTAAAATGTAAATTTGTTTATTAATACACAATATGTAATGGAATGAATAATTTGTAATGACTGTTTTTGAAAGTCTGCAAATATCAGTAAGCAACCCTGTTGACCTTATTACAAAGGGACTTTACTGTATGTTAAGATCATTATTATTGTAGGGTATACAATGTAATCTGTGCTGTATGTTTGCTACAAACAATATGATTTTGTAACATAAATTCAATGAAAACATATTAATTCTTAACAGATTTTTTTTCTTGTATCCAATAAAAATGTGAAATTTGGTATCGTATTGTAATTCACAATCAAACCCCTAAGTTCAAGATGCAAAAATTATTTGTTATTACTAACATGTTCATCGATTCTCTAGTCATCCTCAACTTACAAGAATTATAAGCTAACAATGTAGAACATGAATTTAAAATTATATAAATTAGATAAAGCAAGGTAAAGAACAGCCAATTTACTGTAATATGTAAATTAATTTCTCTCCCTTAACAAATTCAGTCAATTCTCATACTTGAAACAGTATATTAGCTTTATTCTTTTTCTTTTAATCAATTTTACGATCTAAAAATTTCTGTTTTGCTGTTATATAAATGTAAATGTAATTATGCTTCCTAGGTATGTGAACTCACTGACTTCTTCTAGAAGTCAGTGAGTTCACAAGAATAGCCCAAGCAAAACAGGCATTCTATAAGAAACAACAGATGTTAACATCAAAAAAATATATCAAGTGATTCATTAAGAGTTTCATCTGGAGCATAACTTTGTACGGGTTCAGAGACATGGACACTCCGAACAGCAGAAAAAAGAAAACTGGAGATCTTTGAGATGTGGTGCTGGCAAAGAATGAAGCAAGTGTCGTGGACAGAGAGAAAGAGGAATGAGGATGTTTTGGAAGAGGCAACAGAGAAGAGAGATATTTTCAGAATGATAGAGGAAAGGTGAAATGATATGATTGGCCACCTAATTCAACACATGGAATGGATGAATGTTTTATTGGAAGGAAAGATAGAGGGCAAAAGGGGACGTGGAAGACCCAGAGTGGACTATCTCAATGAAGTATTATGAAAAAGGCCATACCAACAGATAAAACAGCTAGCTAACTGAAGATAGGACCTATAAGACTGCACACATCCATGTTTGTCCACCAACCATTGAGAGAGAGAGAGAGAGAGAGAGATGCAAATGTAATGCAGTTCTGACAGAAGTATAGCACAAGAGAATTTAAATTTTAGATTCAAAAGCATTTTCAAAAATTTTGGTCTTTCTTCGAAATGTAAATTTGAATTTTCATAAATCGTCAAAAGATCTTACCTTCAACTTTTATTGTTCTTACTCTTTAGAAGAAGTAATTCAGGAATTGGATATGTAGTTGAGAGATCTCTGGAAACAATGAATAAATACTCAATATTCTGACGATACAGAATACAGGATATTGTTATTATAAATATATTTTTATATACAGTATTTAAAATATATTAATATTTATAATAATGTATGTTTTCAATATAAGCTATGATTAAAATGATTAAAAAATTATCAAGTTACGATATACTAATTAAAAGTAAACAATTATTTATTGTGACATCATCACAATACCAACCTGCAATTTTTAATAAATTTTTCATTTATTTAATTTAAAATATATGCTCTCCACCTCAAATTAGTACTGTAGTGTTTTGCCCCTGTACATCATACTTTTCCTGCTAGCTATAGTCATGCCTGTCACTTTACTCTTTTCGGGAAAAAAATTTTGAATTGAAATTATATGAAGTTGCTGCACTTATCATTTTTACTAGTAATAGCAGATTTGGCTAATTAGCTAATTCTTAATTTTGACCTTCATCTTGTGATGTTAATTCAGACAACTAAAACATGACTGACAAGTGAGTAAAATCACAATTTCTGACTAATGTTATAGCCATATCTGATATAATTTTTGGACATGTTTGGCTGAAGTCAAGCAATGTCACAACTTCTCATATCTGACTTTACTAACACATTTCAGTCAGGCTAATTCAGATTTCTAACTTTTTGAATACGTCCACGGTCAGAGCATGTTCCACTGGAAGTCACAATATTAAAAATTTATTTATTGTTATTAAGAATAAAGCAACCTCTGCCACAGTGTGGCAGAGGTTGCTTTATTCTCAAAAGCTCAAATTAACTAACTAACAATTTAAACTCATTATCTCTTTAACTAATTAAAAAAAATAATAATTATAATAATTAATACTTGCTTAATCAGTTGAAAAGTTTCTTTTTTTTATCAATTACTTCATCAATAAAAACTAATTCTGAAAAGAAAAAACTTGTATTGTATAAAGATTATGTATAGAACTACAGAATATGCAAAAAATTGTTACTATTAGTTATATAAGTTTTACAAATATACATCTAAATTTCTTTTCTTAAAGCAAAAATTCTTTAGAAAACTCGAGTATTTTCTATTGTAAGAAAGAGTAGTATTAAAAAGTTTCTCTTCCTCATAAGATCAAGTTTTTTCTCTTTGTAATACAATTTTTCATTCTAGGTATAATTGTTTAGAGTTCTCCTTGAATTCACATCTTCACTTCATAACTCAACTCTATTTCTGTCAATCATCCATTTCTTTTTTTTTTCTCTTTTCTATAAGGTAAGATTGCAAGAAATCAAAGGTCCAGCACTCTGATATTTGCACTGACCATAATTCTTATCTCAGAGAAAAATGCTGCAACTGATTTTCTTCGCATTATTATTTGAAATAGTAACTGGACATCTCTAAATTTTTTTTTTATGTTTTTCTTTACTGATTTCAAACATATGGCATGAATACATTTGAGTTTTCTAAAAGATATTTGCTCTGAGAAAAGCAATTCGAATCAGATTATTGATTAATAAATGTCAAAGACATCAAAGAATGTTCTCATAATTAGAGACATCCTCTGTATTTTTTCAATAACTATATCAGATGACATATTTAAAACTATCAAAACATTAACGAAGTAATCTATAATGATAGCTAATTTTGTTTTTATGCCTTTATTAGTAGCATGAGAAGCTATTAATTAGTAAAGAATTTAAAAAAGAATTATTAGATATTTTATTATTAACGATGTATTGATCAAAAAGTAAGTAATTATATAGCAAACTTAAAAAGAATATAACAACAAATTCTTTAGTAGCATTTATGATGAAATATTATTAAGTAATTGAAAATAATATTATTATTATAAAAATATGTATATGCATTAGACTACACTGTATTTTCAATTCAAAATGTCTTCAAAAAGATTAAATTATTATGCATATGTATGCGGAATAGAATAGAAATTGCTTTGCAGGGCAAAAGTAAATGTTTTTGCTGTTAATTTATTTTACATTCAATCAAATAAAAAGTTTACAGATAATTCTATAGAAAAATTTATACTGTTGTTAGTTAATTAAAATCTGTTTGAGTATTTTAAATTCAAATTAATAGTGCATCTTATATAAAATTTTCTATATTAGAATAAAAATATTCAGTATGATTTATAACACATTATGGCAACAAATTACTATCATTTAAACAGGATCAAGTGATATAATAAAGATTTTTGAATAAACTACATACCATTAATATTTTCATCCTGTATTTTATTATTCGCTTTCTTTAATTTGATTGATTTGATGATACAAACACACTATCATCACCAGGTTTACTCATTAAAGACAGGTCAGAACAGTCAGGACATTATGAACAGAATTTGACATATCCAAATACAAACACCAGTAAAAACTCTAAAGGTTTAATCTAGATATAAACATGTGTTCCTCAGTATATAAGATAGGTAACTTGTACTGCTTTGATCATCAAGCCAGACTGTATATAATTACGAATGCCCTATTCAGACGATCAGGTAGCAAGAGTACGGTATCTATTTGTCACTCGAATTTTGTCGCTATTAATTACATCGAATTAACAGTAGGATATCATGATCAAAGATGCTTTACAGATTCCATTTAATTTCATACATTACTAAATTTACAGAACAGACAAAATTATTTAAGGAACTTGCATTAGACATAATTACACAAATATTTATATGCAGGTTTTGATCATTTCCAGTAATATAATTTTATTCTTGATTGTTTGTTTAAATTTGTAAGTATTCAGGATTTCTTTTAAATAGCTGTATTCTAGATTCCACTATTTTATACATTGTCAAATTAGTGATGTTTTTGTCCTATTGACAGCTTGAACTGTAAAAGAAAGTACTATTTTTACTCATGGGAGATGATCAAAAATAATGAAGACATGTAAAGAAACACCAAATATATACTCTAAGGTTCTTCAACCTGCTCTTGTAAGCTATCCTGTTCTATTAAAACATGTTTTTATTATGCTTCTTGGTTAAATTCCAGATACGTATACCGTCATGGCGGCTCATCTTTGATTCCAGCAAACAAAAGAAAGGAAACAGTGGAGACGCACGTTCTAACCTAATCTAATCTATTCTAATAAATTATCATAATTATTACCAACCAAATTATTAGAATAGGTTAAGTTAGGTTAGAACGTGCGTCCCCACTGCTTGCTGGAATCAGAGATGAGCCACAATGACGGTATACGTATCTGGAATTTAACCCGATTCTTTTTGGTTGGTGGATATTATCATTTAACTAACTTTAATTAAAAAAATGGAATATTTGCTGGTTTAAATAACAAAATTACCTAAACTAAAATTAAATTCTGCTTTTACCTTTCTTCATTTTAAAATACATATTTCGTTTTTAAATTTTAAAATGTCACATGTAACATTTCGCTCCTACCACGTGTTTAAAATAACAAATAGCCCTCTAGTGAGTGAATTTTGATTAAAACAATTTATTTATTTTATTTTTTTTAAATTATTGTTTCGTAAAAATTTAAATTTACATTACATTTACCGTAATATTAGAAATATTATTAATTATAAATAAAAAATTTTGAACATTAAAGTACAAAAAACTAAAATTATAATAATTCTAATTACACGCACAAACATAAGCTTTATACCATGGATTAAGATAATCCGTGCTTTACATAAAACAAAATTTTAAGAGCTACCTTCCACATTTTAAGGTGTATATACATAATTGGATTGATGGAATAAGGAAACACAATACTTGGGAATGTCTATCGGGAGGACTTCGTAGTCGCTATTTAAATGAAAAAATCTTGAAATAATCTCCACACGATCGGACGTCAACACGCCACTAACCGGTGTTCAGTGGTTTTATGCACTCTGCCACTGCTCAGCTCGCTAAATTTTAGAAATTAATGATATAAAACCCCATTAACAACCCAATTTTTAACTCTTAATCATATAAAAGCGTACAAATTATTCGATTTTCACAATTTTGTAATAAGTGGAAGGGTTGATCGAAAGAATTGGTAAAGAGTAGATACAATTATGTATACACTACAGAATATATCTTTCCTAGAAAGATAATTTTAAATACATTAATTGAAACAAACTATAGCACTGAGTCGTTGTGTCGGTGTACTGACTAAAAATGAACGTTTTATGATACTTTTATTCACCATTGCACAGCGTCGCTTCTAAGTGTAATATCTTTTTAGTAGTTTTACCACATTTTACACTAGTAGACACTGTTATTATAACCACTCAGTAATCGACCGAAATACATATTGTAAACAATTTGAATATTTTTTTATAAAGTAGCTGTTTAATAATTTGTGTCCCCATTTCTTCTTTTATAGTGTCATAGAATTTAATGTTATAGAATTTAATGGTGTGACGTTTCAGTCATTTCGAACATCGTAATTTCATAAAATCTGCATAAGCCACCCGCGTAAAAACTAATCTAATAGCGCTCTATTGTTTTATATTTTTATCAAGGATCAAATTTCTAAAATTATAACTTATTCATATGATATTTATTAATTTTACAATATATGAAAATTGTTTATTGTTACAATAATAAATAACTTTTCAATATTATTAGAACATTCATTATTGTTGCTCTTTGTAAAGCAATTGCATACGATATTTTCCTGACATCAATGCTAAAGTTTAAAAATATGAAGATATTCGTAATTTATCTGTTTATATTGAAATTTTTCGAATTATCAGCTGATTCGAAAGAAATTTCATTACTCAAATATGACCATAATTACCCAGCGGAGGAATTGAACAATGCAGAAGCTGCGATTCCATCCGAGAAACAGGATGAAATCAGAAATTTCATCACGAAATTCCGGACTATATCAAAACTACCGAAACAGACTTCAGAACAAACCTACTTTCAAGACACGGACATTAATTATCGAGGGAAAGGAGAAACAAAAAAGGAAAGTCGACATCTACCCGAAATGCCTTCTTTGCTGAAAAAACTTTTATCTAACTTCGATGTTGGGCCTGATGACAAAACGAGACTCAAAACCACACCACACAGAATATCGAATGAAAGGTCTGCAAAACCCAGGCGAAAATGGGAAATTTTAAAACAATTATACAAAAGATATGGATTGAGTGGACCAGACAAGCTGGATACTAAAACCACCGATCATTTACAGAAGACTTTCAACAAAATCATCGTTGAAAATTCGCATCATACACAGAAAGAACACTTCTCCACATTCGATATCCAGAATCATTACGAAAAGAAAATTAGAAAATACAAAGATTTGAATGATAAACATCGAACATCAAAAAACAAAGCATCTGTAAACGGTACTGACACAAATTTTAGAATCAACAAAAAGGATTTCAACTTCAAATTTTCCTGGATCCTCAAACCTAAAATAATTTCCTACATCAGTACTTTCTCCGCGACATTTCTAGCGGTTTGCGTCGTCCTAATCGTTATAGTAAAAGTAATTAAATGCTACGATCAGGAAGATGAAATTGAAATAAAAAGTCTTGCATTACCGGCCACGAAGAAAAAAATTCTAGCCGTATTAGAAAGCAAAAACGATTTTCTGATACCGCTTCTGAGTACTCACGAAGAAATTGCTTTATCAGAAAATAATCGTTCCCCTCCAAATGAATATAAACACGATAAAGAAACACAAGTGGAAGAAAAATTTATCTTTCCCGATCATCCGGCAAAAGTCAGATTTGAAGACCAAACGAAGCCACCGAAAGTAACTATTACACATCCAATTACCCACATTTCACATCCAGGAATGTTACCGGAAGAAGTCGAGTGTGAAATGGATCTCAGACAAACCGACTTAAACCTAATACGATCTTCAAAGGAATGTCTTGGATCTGGAGACGAAAAAAACTCCAAGGAATATTTAGATCTGGATCACTCGGACAACAACTCCAGTAATTTGTGCATAAAATTGTTTCCAAAGCGTGACGAAATCTCAGCGTTTGACGAACTTCGACAAATCCTTTTACTCATTGACGAAGACAACTTTTCAGAAGATAATGTCATTTATCATCCCGATTACGTCANACGAAATCTCAGCGTTTGACGAACTTCGACAAATCCTTTTACTCATTGACGAAGACAACTTTTCAGAAGATAATGTCATTTATCATCCCGATTACGTCAAAAATATTTACGACGAATGACGGTAAATCATCACGGTGATAAAAGAAACAATATTAGAGTATATTCAGGGAATATCCCTAGCCAGGACAAGGCAAACACATGACGATGTGTCGAAGCACGATTAATTGTTGCTGGTCAACACGTCGGTTAATGAAGAAAAATCTACAGACCATCATTTGTAAGGCACCAATTGTGACAATGAATGATACAATAAATAGCGAATTGTCACTGTGAAGAGATTTACGCAGATACAAGTTTAATTAATCATTCTCTGGGAATTTCTTTGTAATTTCTCTTAAGCTTGTTTCTTTAAATCATTTTTTTTCCTTAATGATCTTAATAATAGATATTTTAATATTTTTAAAATTTGTAAAATGTTGTAATAAATATTATTACTAAACATATTCGAGTTATTCATTAAATATACAGTAAATTTTAATGCGAAAGGACAGCGTGTTTTTAGTCAGAAGGACACATTCTATTTTTAGAAAAATATATTAAATTCGAAGATTCGAGTTATTCATTAAATATACAGTACATTTTAATACGAAGGTATAGCGTGTTTTTAGTCAGAAGGACGCATTCTATTTTTAGAAAAATATATTAAATTCGAAGATTGTATTGAGTGTTAAGCAAGTGGATATTTTCGACATTTCTGTACAAATCGCACAGATTATATTGGGATAAGTATCGTTATTGGAACGAGAAACATAAACCATCGTTTAATGATATTAAATGTGAGTGCGGATTGCGGCCCTTTGTACCTGCTGCGTTAAGACGTTGGAGCAACGAAAGAAATGCACCGATCGATTTTATCAATCTGATTTTTCTTGTGTTACTCGTACGCCAGCAACTCGAAAATTTCTAAAACACGGCGTGGAAATTCCTTTAGCAGCATATATACAGAGAATACTTTAAGGAAAAAAGCTGCAACGTAATTCGTAACGGAAAAAGATCTCATGTCACGCGTGGCAGGTTGCATTTATCATAATTATAACAGAGTTGAATCGAAACATCTCAAAACGCTTTCAAATAAATCGATAAACATCACCTGGATCATTAAAGTTCTTGCCGTTCTAGCTCCGTGGAAGTTTTCGTGGAAGAGACGATGAAGTTGTGCGTTCGTGAACACTGCATCAGGGGTTTGACAGTTACGGTCTAACACGAGATACCCGGTCGAAATGTGCCACCCGTTTAAGTTTGGTTAAAAACGCCTCGGTCGGCACCACAGCAGCAACAGATCCACACCTACTTAATCATTACCTGTTAAACGGACTGATAAAAGAAAAGTTCACGCGCAAACAAGACGA